AGCAACCATTTTTGCTTAAACACTATGAGCCAATGCTTATCGCAGTGGTAATGATGCCGTTAATTAAGAGCAAGGTGCTGGTTCGACCCTCTCCTGGTCTCATCAACCCTCCCATGCCTCTAAGATCGAGAAATTGTTGCGACACTTCTCGGAGATCAAGTTACCCCTCTAATTCAAAAATCTAGCGAGTGCTTGTGATAGAGATTTGAGAACGTAGGAATGTCGGTCCACAATTGTACGGAGAGTGGGCTCGACCAACATTCAGTGCCATTCATAAAAAAACGGAAATTATCAAACAATAGACGAACCCTTGTGCAAAAGGTTTGAGGATTTGTTAACGACAGATGCTAGGAAACAAATCGAATGCAAGAAGTGCTCTGATTCGCAATATTAATGATGTCGGATCATGCAAAAAAAAAACTATAGATAAGAAAAGAGTAGAATTAGTGACTATACGATTACTTTTCAAACACTGTGAAAAAATACAGCTACAGAATAATTTTGAGACTTTGTAGCTTAAAAAAGGCTAAATTTGTGCGTCAGAGCAGGGCGGTAATGCAGCTGGGCGCTGGATTAAAGCAAGGTACCTGCCAAAACAGAACGACAAATTGTTGCTAATGGATTTATTACTACATTATCTAAGGAATGATGGACGTGAATTAATGAACGACCTCCCATTTTTTCGATGAATTTAAGACCTACAAGAAAACTGTCGAAGAAATGGTTTTCAATGGTTTGCGTGTTTGCTTCTCTGCTGGAGAAACACTTCAGATTACTTCTTACCTTACTCATTCGATCCGTTTGAGTTGCGCATTTCGTATTCGTATTCTTTCTGAGAATTTCACAGTAATCGCAAGAAACAGTAAAAATTGCATATGACGTATGTGCAGAGTTCGTTTTAATCGTTTGTCGTCGGATCGTCGTTCGGCGTTTTTCCTTTTCCAGAGTTTTGCATACGAGTGCGCTTGCATCCGCGCCCGAGATGAATTGTCCGAATGAATGAATGAGTCAGCGGTCGAATGATGAACAGGTCTTCGCTGTTCTTTATCTTTTTATGTTCTGCCTAGAAGATGCTTTGACGTCAAAAATGTCACCGTGTACTTTCGAAAATTATCGATTGATGATGAATGAGTTCGGATTTTTAAAGTTTCCATCTCCTTCTCTTACTGTTTACTTCTGTCGATAGGCATGGAAACAATGCACCTGGGACGCGTTCTCCATCTAAATCGATCGTATTCGTTGTAGTATCCAGTTATTTCTGAAAAATTATTTTCAGCATCTCATGGATGTCTCTTCTTACTGATTCCGTATTAAAATCTCCTTCCCAGTTACGTTAGTTGTGGTAGGAGAAAGCTTGTAGCTTTCACGTTCACAAACATTAATTTACTGTTTGAAGTGATTAAAATTATTAAAAGAACATTATGAAGATGAAGAATTGTGACATTTCAAAAACCTTGTAGATATTGTATGTAAAGTTTAGTCCGACAAACATTCGAAGCCTGTAGTCATTAATTTTAAATTGGATACAATAGTAGTAAAGGGGTAAAAAGGATAAAGCTCTGGACGCTGATCAATCCCTGAGTGATCAGCCAGGTACTTGACTTCATTACGCATCGTTTAGAGGTGACTGAATGCATTTCTGGCCTTCACAATGACACGCGATAGCCTACCGATCTATCAAGTCAGTGCTTTATTCTTCCAGACAAGTCTGATAGCAATTTGCCGACCCCGAAAGGATGGAAGACTTGGTGGGCCATGGGCGCGGGGATCGATTCTACGTGTGCATTGCAGGGCGCCTCGGGCCACTGCGCCACACGCGCCCTATACAATAGTAATATAAAGTGAATTCTATCATTTTTAAAAATAAAACGTTAATTTGAGTGAATGAAAGTAGCGGGTTATTTAGCTGTTTCACAGCTTTTTTTTTCTACAGACGTGGGAAATTATTATAAATGATCATTTTCATATGTGTAGCAACATCACTTAAGAATGCTAAGAGGATAAAATTAAGTGGTAATGGAGGTGATAAAAGTAATGATATATTATAGAAGACAGAAATACATTTTTAGAGCAGCGTATTCTATGTTTGATGCTTCTGTTAAAAAGGCTTATTATTTCTTCCAGCCTCATCAATATGTTGTTGTCTTGATGTCGCCGGATGAGTAAGATAACTCTTCCTGGATGTTGAATAGCATTTTTATCCAGAAGAAGACCAATTATGAGAATAAACCTAAGCCATGCCAGAGACCTTTAGCTGATTGCACGTCAAAAAAAACTGGAATTGAATAGGCAAAAAAGTGTGTATGTGGTGATGTTCCATATTCCGGTATTTTTAGTGTTTGCGGCTCCAGCACAGTTTCTCGTCTAGAATAACCTAAATGGAGAGCTTCACATGTACTAGCTAGCTCAGGTATAGTGATCCTCTATAACAGCCTCAATACAGGCGATGCGGGTGATTTATAATATTGAATCTATAATTTTAGTACACATTAGCTGGAGAAGAACGTCATGCAATGGTTACGAATTCGATTTTCTTTAAGAATGTGTGATTGCTGATGGGTTCTACGGAACGAACGATTGTTCATCAATACCTGTTCTTAACAGTAACATTAATGAAATCTGCAAAAAATTGGACAGAAGATAGTGTATAGAATTTTTGACGTGGGCTTTCTTGTTTATTCCAGACATTTTCCAATTGAAAGAAATGGATGATCATAAACCCTTCCAAAAGTATTTAAGTTCAGAGTCCAAAAATGAATAACTCCAAAGCAGAAGTTTTCAAGATTGCACAATATCTACGAAGTGTTTTAGAAAAGACAGAAAGTTGCTTAATCGTAATCTACATTGCCGTCAGAATCATCAAAACTGATACTTCGTAATGAAAAGCCAAACGAAGTTCATCGCACGGGAGGGACCGAACGAGAACTGTACTGAAGTCGGTTTCTACAATGTGTCGCTTTTTCCGGGGGAAATATTGGACTAAAGATAATTTTGTGTGTATTATGGTGGGACTGGAAGGAGAAAAAGGGTAGAGACAGCATGGTTAACGTAGTTATACCAGAAATGTTGAAACAAGACCATACATAGTCTCAAAATCGCTTACTTGTATTTTGTACTGTACAGGCATATAAATGAAAAAAACGGACAAAGCGTTCGGAGATGAAAAATTTGATATGGTTGAGCCAAGCGAACAACTCGATTCGCAGCATCGTTGAGGTCACTAAATGCATATTTGCCCTATGTTGCATCTTTCATCGACGTAAACATGAATCAAGTCACCACTTTTATCCTCCTGACGAGTCCGGATACACTTTGACCACCACTAAAGCTTAAAGTTGGTTTGCTCAGTGTATGGAGTCGAACCAGCGAGCTATAAATAATTACATATATATAAGGGGTGTGTGTAGCGTAGTGGTTAAAGGAGAGGCGATACATTCTTGGTCGTTGCTTCGATTCCGATGAAGTCACAAGCTATTGTATATGCCACATCAGCATTTGATGACCTCTTACGATGCTTAATAAATTCGAATACAAGGCGCATCCCTTAGGGATGAGTCAGCGCCAAACACTATCCTTTTTTTTATATTTATATATATATATATATATGTATACATATATACATATATACACGGAATCACATGTGGATGTGAAGAGAATTGAGAGAGCGAGATGTACAATTACTCCTGATGTAATGATGACTCAATCAGAGGAACCGCCCAGACCACACCCATTCCATTGATATAAAAGATATGCCGGTATGGAGGTTAAGATCAGTATATTAGCATTCAGTTAAATAATCTTGTCAACTTTAACTGATTCTCTCGGACTATTTCATTTTCTACTGGGCAATGCCCCATCCTTTCCCACTTTTTTCTTCCATAACCATAGTAGAGTAGAAAATTTTGTGATTTTTATTCTAAGAAGCGTTCTATTTCTTGTTATGACCGGTACATGTCGTATATTAAACAATGAAAAATCGCTTGGTTTTAAACGATACGCACTAAGAACAACAATAACTGGTCACTTTGACGAAGCATATGGAGAATCATCTGTCTATATTTACAGACGAATCCTTATTGATCGACCGTAGCTTATGTCAATTCTTTCATCTTCATTTTCGAAATTAAAAATGTGGAACCTAATCAATGTTCCCTATTGCTAGTTTATCGGCGGTGATTCAGATAAATAGAACTGAACGGAGTAGGACGATTTCGTGGTTTCTTCTTTCGTCTATCCTCTGTATTCTCTTCCAACCGTCGTTCTGCGGTTGTTCTTAGAGGGTTTAACAAGAGTATTTTAGTGGGATGGGGGTAGAGTTGCCCAGGTTGTTTAGCCCCATTCTGCGTTTCTCCTGTATTTGATTTCGAAACTGTCGGGTTAGAAAAATGAATCGTATCAGCTAGTGTTTGACAACTACGCTGCCAGGGGTATTGTGTGCATTGGTCACGATACACGCAAACACATTTTCTTGTGGGCGTTTCATCTTTACTTTTTTGGGCAGAGATTTGCGAAACCAGTTCACGAACAGTATTCTAGAGCGATTTTCGCCACCGAGCGAGTTGCCTAGGTAGGGTGACGAACATTTTGTTGTCGTCGTGAGAGAAAACACCGCGTTTGAACGCGAACGTCGCCGCGATGGTGTTGTGGACGCGTGTGCGCGTTTCCCATGTGTGCACCTGACATGCCACCGTTTGCTAAACCGGAGGTGGAAGGGCTTTCAATGCGGATTGTGGAATGTATACTAAATGGTCGACATTATTCTCATACGCTAACAGTCCATTATTCTTGTCACTTTTTTCCATTGTTCATTTTCGTCGTTTTTTGTCTGGAAAAAAAATACTTCACTTGCTAGTGTATCATATTTTACGAATATACTTGTAACGATAAGATATCTACCAGAAAAGTCAAAAGATGACCGAATTTTTTGAGACTAGCGCATATTTTTTGATTTTTCCGTTCACCATTTCAAAATTCCTGTACGTTTTCTTTTGTAGACGAAAATGGCTGTGGCGATGCGTCGTAATTGGTATGATGAGGATTTCGCCAGGAGACATCGCGATTCATGGTGGATTCGCGACAACTGGTACGACGATTGGAAAGATTGGCCTATGGACTGGCCTCGACCGAGAGATCTCATGGACAGGGTGGGCTAGACTCTGAACTCTCTATGTAGACTCAACTGTCACTCCACTCGTAATCTCGCTAAACCTCGACTATTATCGCTGCGCGCAACTACTGTGCATTTTAAGCAGCATGTTCCTAGATTAAATTGCTTTTAAATTAACTAAACGCTCGTTTTGGCAATCACCGTAGTTGTTTCATGAGCCCAATACTTGATGAAAAATAGAAAAAATACCAGGTCCATTAGAATTGACTAGCTCGGAGTAGATTTAGTCAAGTCACATAGGCATCTCGTAGATTCCGCTCCTACTTTGACCACTTTCGTATGCACACGATCTTACTTTGCCAGTCAATCAGAGGCCAGCCAGCCGGCGTCAGGCCCATTATGATCCGGTCGCCGTCACACTGTCAATGCCGCTCCTCATACTCGGCATCTATCGTCCTCAATTTCTATCACGCAATTGAAATCCGCCAATTATGAGCTTAACTGATCGTTATCTGCAGAAAGAGCGCTTTTAGCTAGTGGCGGAACTATTTTGAAGATGCATCGAGGCTTTCTGTTTTCTTGTTTTGGTGACGTGGTGACATTTAGTTTTGGCGAGATACCGATAACTGGTGGCGCGACTGGCCGTCGGATTGGCCTCGCATGGATGCTGTTATGCCAAGAGTTAGTTTCCATTTTACTCTCTTCTCTTGCTCTATAACCGTACATCACAACTAAGAGCATTAACTCAAGTAATGCTTCCTAGATTTTATCGATTTTCTTTTTTACACACTCTACTGAAGCATAGGGGCTTTGATACCGACGTTTCTCATTGTAGAATATATTGATGTTTCTGTGGAAACTATTGGAAAGTAGAGTCATGCCGGTTTTTTCGACGGCCTTTGTTTAACTTATGTCATTCCTTCTCATGACTATTGTACGAAAAGGTCTCGTCACCGGTAAAAATGGGTTGCGATTCTCTTCACGCCGCTCGTCAACACCTGTCGAGATTTTTATTACCGATGTTTGATATGGTTCAATAGAAGAAATCAGTTGTGCAAATATTACAATGGCAATAGTCCTCCGTACTGTGGGCGAAATTGCTCGACTGGAACTGGTTTTCATACAGTTGCACTGTGGATTAATTCGTCTGTTTAGAAATGGTGATGATTTTAGACACGTTTAGTCTGCCCGTATTCCGTTGGTATCGTAAAGATCATGCATCAACAACATGTTGAATAGTAACGAGATTCAAATTTCTTTGTAGTTCACCTCTCATCTGGATCAACTAGATCGTAATTGGCGTAACGATCCGTTTTGGCAAGACATCTATCCGCGGTGGGCTGAGCCGATTTTTAAGGTTCCAATGTTTTATTTTCGCTTGTTTAATGCCATGTTCGACAACGCTGGATGAGAACCTAGCAAAAAAAGTCCATGCATTCGAATAAACAATTCCATCATTTTGTTATAGGAAGGTATCGATGTGCATACCAATATCATCAATGATGAGAGAAAATTCGCTGTAGAATTGGATTGCTATCAGTTTAAGCCTGAAGAAATTCAGGTATAGTTAGTTTGTTGACTATTACTGAGCTTATACGTTTAGGTGGCTCGTGTAGCGTAGTGGTCGGAAGCAACCTGCAATACACATGGGATCGATCCCAGCGCCCCATGCTTACCAAGCCCTCTATCCCTCCGGAGTCTGCAAATTCGTACCAGACTTCTCTGGTAGGATTGCAACACCTGCTCGGTACATTAGTAGGCCACCACGAATCATTGTAAAGGCCAGATATGCATTCAATCACTTCCAAAGATGCTTAGTGAAGTCGAATGCACGGAGGATCCCTCAACGGTAGAAAAATGCCGACAGGTCTATCCTTTATTCTTTATACGCTCGTTCGGACTATTTCAATCCCAATTTAGAGTAACTGTGCTAAGGTCTTATGTGGCTATTTCTTTAAATGCTGGCATAACTGTATTAAAGCGTAGAAAAAGGTTTAACGTTGACCTAACCCTTATGAATGCGACGTTCTTTCGAATCTATTTGCAGCATCCTAAAGGTTATCCATTGAATGCACATTTGGCTTATATAACCTTTGGGGCCTAGCAGTTTACCAGCTTGGTGCTTTTATACTCCGAGATAGGTCTGGTGCGAATTTTCTGACCATAGGCGATGTGTGTTTTACAGTGCAGCTCTGTCCATTGCGCTACATGCCTTCAAAATCATAATTGTAGTAGTGAAAAAAATCCAGAAAAAAATCTTTTAAACTATTCACATTATAAAAGTGCATCGACCAGTTTTCTGCCAGAGAGCACGAAAGAATTGTTGATTCAGGTGAAAACACAAAACGACACATTGATGATCGAAGGACGTCATGAGGATGTACGCGATCGTGATAATTTCACAAAAATGTATTTTGTACGAAAATATCAGATGCCTCGTGATGTCGATCATGCTCTCATTTCGAGTAACATGGATTCGAGAGTAATTTTTGATTATACGATTATGTACGGAACCATTTCGACGGAAATCACATGTCTATCTTTAGGGCCGTCTTACTGTTGAAGCACCACGTCGTCCAGCTCCGTTGAACGCACGCGATCGCGTGATTCCAATTGAAAGTGCCGGTCAACGTTCCTATTCTTCGTCATCGCAACGGATCCACGAATCCACGTACAGAAGTGAGTACTGAAAGCGAACAAGTGCTATTGAAACACAATAAAACTTTCGTTACAACGATGAATAATATCCTTAGGACTCTTAATGTATCTGTAGCCGTTCATCGGCTATGTCTGCATAACAGTCTTCTTCATAACTTCACCCATTAATCTTTAATATTATCAATGTTGGCTGCAAGAACGAGATTAATAAAGTTGGGTCATCTCAAATGAATTAATTAACTAACCAGACTCACTACCGACATGCTCTGCTTCACATAACTTCCTTATCAGTGACGTCAAAGTATTTCGAATACATTTTTGTGAAATATAACAGAAAATTTAATAGTGGTCTCACTGCACATAAACCATATGTCAATATAGTTTATGAACTTGATTATGGTACTATTTTGATCGTTTCACATAGATGACAGCTCTTTTTTGCGGCATTTTGGGTTGCTAAGCGCTCGTCGTGAGGAACGACGGAGCTGCTACCTCAGCTAGCACAGTGCACGGTGTTCCTTAGTAAAGGACCAAATGATCACACTTCTCTCTCACTTTGATTTGTTAAACTTCTTGTTTTCTTTCCAAGGAATTCCGTCTTGGAAAGTTTGACATGCTCAGAACATTTTAAGACAATAGCGTTGATAAGTAAGCATCACGTTGTTCGTTAATTTTATTCTTTATAAGGAGCATCGTAGATATAAAATGACAATGAAGGTATGCTTTCCACCACACTTTAGATTCATGCTTGTAGATTTATAAGCTGAATTTCTTAAAGGAAAAGGCCTTAATCTGCAAAGCTTAGTAGCCTTTATGAAATGCTGAGAAATTTGCAAAACTCCGGACCACAGGTGTATGCAATGGAGAACAAACACGCGCTGTTGTCCTTACCGGGGAGCAGCGCACTCCGGGACCCGGATGGTGTAGTGGTGAAGTGCGCTGCTCCCCGATAAGGACAACAGCGAGTGTTCGTTCTCCATTGCATACACCTGTAGTCCGGAGTTTTGCAAATATCTCAGCATTTCATACGAGTTATATTTCGCAACATAACCTGCCATTAAGAAGAAAAAGGCAGTAAATAAAAGAGCTTAGTAGCTTTGTTTATAATGAAAAGGAGATTCAAAGGAAGTGGTAGCAAATTCTAGTGAACTTTTCTAAAAGAATTTACTAGCAGAATAACCTGCATTTGTGCACGGTGGACAAGTTTTACTAAAAGGTTATTACCTATTCCACCAGATTTAGTTGTACAATAAAAGTGTATGAAAGCATTTATTTATGTGATCTTATAAACTGATCTTCTTAAGCTGACGCGAGGTTGGTACAGATCTTCGTTATCGTTGTCGTTGTTTTCGATGTTATTGATCGATGGCTAACGTTTCGGCGACTTCGCCTTTCTCAGAGCCTGGACGTATTTTATGTTAGAATACTTTTTATTATTCGGTGGAAGAGAAAGGTTAAAGTGTTAATGAAGATCAAAATTTCACATAGACGCCATATTGAACAGAAAAGCTACTCACCGTGATGTTACGTGCGGGACTGGCCCACACGTAGTTCACGTGGAGTCGCAAGCAAGACACGCCTCGGGGTCAAAATATCATTTTGAAATAGGGCGCCAGGTCACGCTTGATAGTGAGGCATTCGTCCTTCCGGTTCATCTTTGGATTTTTGAAATTTATCCAAAACGCCTCAAGAGTTTTTTTATTTAGTTTCCCAAAATAATATTTCAGACGAAAGTAGGATCCCCTTTATGCTGCCCTTCATATCAAATGAAGTAAGTCACGCCATTAAAGAGTGCTTAAGAAAAAGTGGTCTTGAAAATTATGTAACGATTATTGACATCCCACCTAATACCCTACGCCGCCAGTTAGTTCGAAACCGTCTTTGTGATCGTTCGTGCAGCTCAGAAAACTGTATGATCTGACCTAACGGGAGAGACGGGGATTGCATGAGTTTAGGTATAATATACTTGATCTCATGTAATGCATGCGGCGAGGAATATATCGGGGAAACGGGTAGACCACTTTGTGTCCGCATAAAAGAACATCTAGATGGGAAAGCTAAAATCCGTTTAAACATCCCTCTAGGTACGCATAGGGCACAAAAGCACAACGGCGATGATTTTGAAGTGAATGTGCGGATCCTAGCGCAGGGATCAAAAACATCAACGCGCAAAACTCTTGAGGCGTTTTGGATAAATTTCAAAAATCCAAAGATGAACCGGAAGGACGAATGCCTCACTATCACACGTGACCTGGCGCCCTATTTCAAAATGATATTTTGACCCCGGGGCGTGTCTTGCTCGCGACTCCACGTGAACTACGTGTGGGCCAGTCTCGCACGTAACATCACGGTTAGTGGCCTTTCTGTTCAATATGGCGTCTATTTGAAAGTTTGATCTTCATTAATACTTTAACCTTTCTTTTCCACCGAACAATAAAAATATTCTAATATAAAGTACGTCCAGGCTCTGAGAAAGGCGAAGTCTCCGAAACGTTAGCCATCGATCAATAACATCGAAAACAACGACAACGATAACGATGATCTGTACCAACCTCGCGTCAGCTTGAGAAGATCAGTTTATAGGGATTACATAAATAAATATATCAACTATCTATGCCGAGGTTCACAGAAAGTCGGTCTTTCGAGTGTATGAAAGCATTTTGTTTCTTCTCCAGAGTCATCACCTATTTTTAAATCTTTAACTCAGCTTTTCATGGCTAACTCAATGCTTCTGGGAGTTGTGATGCAATTCTGAATTGGTTTCTGTCCATTTAAAACGAAACTTAATTGCAATAGAGTCAGCTTTCAATAGTTAACCAACTATGGACAATATCTCTCCCTCTCTATTTTCAGTTAGTGATGGGTTTTAATACAAGATAAATAAGGTCTTCGTATAACTACAGATGGATCGCACTCACCGCGCTCCACCGAGATTCCGCTCCATGTCCAAACTGGCGATAGTCGTTCGCGTGAGGTTTACGTATCGCGTGATAATAGCCGTGAAATGGACAGCGAACGTGAACGTGAACGCGAACGGGAACGTGAACGAGAACGTGAGCGCGACCGTGAGCGCGAGATATACGTACGACGCGAGGATGATCGAGATCGCGACCGTGAACGTGATAGAATCCGCGATCATGAAATCCGTCTCAGTCCTCGTACTAGTGACTACACAACGTCGTCTAAGTATAGGTATGTTTTCCAGGTTTTTTCGAGATTCGGCACTAAAACCGTGAAGTTCAATCACTAATCACAGTTGTTCCTACTGTGCTGCTCGTTAAGATACGAATCACACACTAGAGAAGTATCACCGCATTTCGTATCAACACAAAACGAAAGCCGCTCTTTTATGCATCCGACGAGAACAAGTGCTGATACCCGATCAGGTATGTCGTGTATTTGTGCTAAATTGTAGAAAAGACATTAACAGATAAGTGTGGCAAACGACGAATCATCGGCGCCACTTCATTTCTGTTCAGTTTATAGCTGTTTCCTGAAATGTGAGTTTAGAACAAGAAGTTGATGGGCGTCCATCCGATCAAGAAGTATCTGACTCGATTAAAAAGCAGCTCAGCAGAGGTGTCTAATATGTGAACTATCTTGTGTTAAATTTTTAGTTAAATCAGTCCATCTCGAAATGATCTCTATTATTCTGCATATGTATTAGAAAATAGTACATTGTAATGATACACCTATTTGACTGGTCAAAAGGTTGAGGACAACTTTTTCAGCTGCACAAGACAGCATAGCGGAGGAGTCCAGACGTGAAAGAAGTCGAGAATTCGCATCTGAGAGATACCAATCGGAGAGCAGAAATGGTAATTAGCAGATTTATTCTTATTCACCTAAGCAAATTCGATGTTTTGGGTGCTTGTTCTCATCGATGCCCATTGCTCGATTATTTGAATATTTTAGTGATGTTCTGAAAAAACTTGCAGTCCCAAAAATGTCTTTCATTTCACTGACATGGTTGTAATTTTAAGAGATCTATTCCTTGAAGTCAGCGAGAACAGTAGAACCATGGGAAGTTTTTTTGCGCTTCGAATAAATCTTGAAGAGTCCTTAGAAAGGAATTCAACAAATCTTGATATATACGGGAAGATCGGAAGATTTCAAATTTGAGCTAATAGTTTATGACAAAGAAATGCTCGACTTTTCTAAGAAAATATAGATTATTTGATTTTCGTGTGTTTGCAACACTTGTTATGAAGATATCTGGGACGAAAACATACATACGAACAACTTCTTTGTTTTTATTTAGTGCCTATTCATTTTTAATAATGCGCATGATGTAAAGCACAACCATGGGAATAGTAAGATATAAACAAAACCCGGATCCCCAAATGGGCTTCGAAACCGAAATTACCCTCGTTAGGGCTCTCGTGCTCTCCATCACACCAATCGATGCCCTTGCTTAGCCTTTCTCTCACGCATGTTTAACGAACACGGAGTAAAAAAAGCTTAAAACATTGTGACTCTGACAGCAGCTTCTACCTAACTGGATGTAATGTTGACCGAATTTTGCTCATGCCTCACCATCCCTATATATGTGAGCAGTTCTGATTGCTGCATTTGTTGTAGGTTATCGCGTGGAATCACCGTCATCGACTTCTGGCGGTGGTATTCTGAGGAATTCTGATCGACCTGAATCTCGTTCGGAAAGCGTGCGCAGCGTTCAAATTTTCCGAAAGACGTTCGGATAGCTGATAGAGACGCTTATTCCCGTCATTTCCTCAACCAATCGCTGTCTTTTTATTTGTTGCCGTATCCTTCAATTGTGGGACGATGCTCATTCGTGCTGCACGTTTTCAGTGTTCTTTTCGCACTCTTTTACCTTGTTTTGAACTCTGTCTTTTTGGATTATTTACTAGGTTGCTTATCTGTTCCTTCATTGAAACCCATATAAGATATTTTGCACTGAACATAAATCCAGAAGAACAGGAGTTCACGTGAAAGCAGTTGATGTTGACATTCATAGAGTTCAAGAACTTATGAGCGTCCACTATAATCAGAATTGTGTTTATAACTTGGGATTTCATAGAGTTTAACACATTCAGTTTGAAACCCTCATAAGAATTAAAGCATCAAGAAACTATAGGTTCTTGGTGTTTTTTGCTTAATCTGAAAACTGTAGGAAAAATGAAAGCATCGAAAGGCTGTATACGCCAAAAGACCTGAGTTTCTCATTTTACCTTGCTTACATTACTGAATGGTGAAAAACGTGACATAATTTCGGCAGCTTGACCTTAAATGACGACATGTCCTTAAGTTTATCTTGAAGTATTTCCAGTACCGCTTTGATTCTAAAAATAACCGCTATGGATAAATGACTGAAATCACCGTGGCTTTGAAGAAGGCAGCGGTTCGAAACGCTTGCTATAGTAAGGATTTGTAATAACAACTTAATGTAAGTTTGTGGATAAGCTAAGACACCCTAGTGGAAGTGGAAAATCGCAGAGTTAGCAGAACACTAACTAAAAGACAAAGTTAGGTATCGGAAAGGATTTAATACAGCGTATCAAGTCCACGTAATAACGAAATTCAGAGTAAAAGCTGCTACTGTGTACCATCTTAAACAACATTGTGAAGATTCATTTTTGCAGAAACGCAGAAAAGGATTAGACTTAGATTTTTTCATATATGATTTATATGGTCCGAAATGCTCACTCGATGAGAGCATGGTGTTCTTCATGTCTCCTCGTCGCCATTCTGTGTTAGTTCCTCCGTGTAATATGCTAGAAGTCGTTGTACAACGCTGGTAATTCAATTTGTAGAGCAGGGATCCAATAGTATCTCCTTCGTCAATATTACCTTCCATGTCATGTTTTCCTGTAGAAGACTCTAGCGGAAAGAGAAAGACTCATCTATTCTCTACATGTCGCCATTGTTTTAATGGGCCTGATCTCACCTTCGCTGCAGCTCAATGTTCGGCGTTGTCGATGATGATTTTGTAATGAAACACTCACCCTTATCTTTTGAGGAAAAAACTTTTATTGCTGGGTGATTGTTGATAGCACCGTTAGGGTAAAAAGGCTGGTTGAAAGAAAAGCAGATTGAGGGCCTCAGTGATGCCGTGCGCAACACTTGAGCGCCCGAATATTGTAATCGCAGCTTGATCCGGCCTAAGTTCGAAGTTTTGCAAATGTCTTAGCATGAAATGCGATGTCAATAGAGAACAGGTTGTAAAAATCACTAAAAGATGAACTAAAAAGATAATTACAATTCTACTGTCACTAAGAGAGAAAATCGTGTTCGCTCGGCAGACAATGCACTTCCTCTTCGCTCTTAAAACACCTAGTCGTTCTGAACTTCAACAAACGGGGACGGCTACATGTATATGGACTACCAAAGGATAGCAATCGAATACTGAAGACTGAATGGAAAAGACTACGCACCTTTCTACGAAAGAAACAAGATCAGATGTTCCCCAAGCGGAAGAAGCGCGGGACGAACGATAACCATCGTGCTCAGATTTGAAAGACGGCCCCTTGTGGAGAATAGTGGTTGGGTCAATGTTGATTTGCCTATTAGGTCAAATGCAAAAGTAACTTTGCAAAAAAAATTCGAAGGTTTTATGAGTAAATCGCGTAAAACGGCTTTAAGAGAGTACAGAAACACCGCTAACGAAGGTCAAAGAAATCACAGTAGGATAAATAATGTGCAAGAAATTTCAACGTTAACGTTGATAGGAGGCACGACTCCCCTGGTGGGACGCGCTAGTTATTGGAATTGTGCCCAAGTTTCTCACCATTCTGAACCCGTTTCTAAACTATCCTAGCGTAGGGTCTCATGTAATTTGCACCAACTTCAAGATAGACTCCCTGAGAAAGTTAGAGATGAAGCACTGAATAAGAGCGAACAACCTGAAGTACGGTCACTACCAATACCACCACTTCCTCAACTGTTCTTTAGATAACAAGAACTCAATAGTGAAGTCGATGTTAAATTTGGGACTTACGAATGAAACGTTCAAAGTCCTTAATCACTATTGCGCTAAGAGATATTGCTCCAACCTCACAGAAGTGCAAAAATAAGGTATGAGGGAGGATCGAGTGCTTATAACGTTGAAAAACATAAGACTATCTGTTAGTGATAAAGGTGGAGAGTTTGTAGTAATTCCCTATCAGTTAGACGTTGAGATAACGAAAAAAACATCTCGAAGATGCTTTCCTTTATCGTACATCGTCTGATAACGAATTTAAAAGTCAATACTCAAAAGTAAACAACGAATGAATTAAAATGGCAAAAGCTGCTCGGTTATAGCCATTAGTTATCTCTCAACTCAAAGTTGATTTACCATTATGTCCAGTCTTACACTTACTTGTTAAAACTCGTTAACGCGATTTATAGCCCTAATACTTACTTAATTGTTAGAACGCATTCTAGCCCATATAACGAATGCCCAGATATTTCGGAATCATCTACATAAAGCGCTTCCCAATAATGCTTGTGTGATGAAGTCCTTCGATTTCACCGCACTTTATACAAACGTGTCGAATGACTCGGCTAAGCAAGCCATCTCGAGTTAATTATACAGCACGAAGGAGCAACAAACATGTATGCATTCACGATTCAGTAGTTTATGCCACTCCTAAAGGAGCGCCGAAACAGCTCAATTTTTGGATTGTTCAGGAGGTGTTACCCACAAATGAGCGGTTTGCAATGGGGCAACGATTGTATCAAGCTTTGCCACCGCATTTTTGTCTAAGGCGGAAGCATCACTAGCCTTTCTCCGGCCACTACTCTACTGTAGATATATAGACGATTGGTTTGTCATTTTCTCAACAACACGAGAGAAAATGGCCAAGTGTTTTGAGTGAATAGTGGTTGAACGAACAGTCATGATACATTAGGGTTAGCGTGGAAAAATTGAAAAAAAAATTGACTTGCATTCCTGAACATGCAAGTTAACCTGTCCGAAAACGGCTCCATTACGAAGACGTGCCGAAAGCCAAGCAGTGAAAACACACTAGTTCGCTACTTCTCCTCTCACTCCCCCATACACAAAACAGTGTACTTAGACGAAACATGATTCGAACAACGACCAACCAGTGTGTGCACAGAAAAAGAGCTGAGGGAGGAGTCCCGGAACATGGAGCAGCAAATAGCCATTTTTAATCGCTGTGAAACTCTAGCTCCACTGTATGGGTTTAGAGGGAAACCGAAGTTCCCGAGCGATAACACTTGCAAGATTGAGGTCTTCGTTTATTCTGCCCTTTATTTCAAATAGAATAACTGCAGCTATAAAACGTTGCTTATGAAGGGCAAGTCTGGAGAATTTGGTAATCGTAATTGAGGTGCCATCGAACACTCTAAGAGGCCTTCTAGTCCGAAACCGCCCGTAGTATGGCCTTCCACCTTCTGTGATTGCTTCTTTCTCATTTGAGTCAAAGGCCTTCTTCAAATCGATAAAAGTGAGAGAGAAAGGTTGAGTTTTTGGGTTCTGTTGATAAAAAAGCATCATATACTATGCGGGTTTTACCACTTGAAATCATATATCTTTCCTAAAACAGAGCGCAGTCGAGGCATGTATAACTACTGTATAAATAGTAGTGTTTCAAAGCCAAACCTAGTTAGTCCCCTCTCAAAGACTTAGTTGCTTATTAAAACATATAAGCTTACCTCAACTGGTGATATTACGTCAACGAACCCATGATCATATAAAGTTAGACCTATCATCAGTTGTATAGGCGGGTCAACGGATAAAATAACGTGGTTCCCAAACCTTATCCTAACCCAGCTGCTAAAATTCATTCCAACCTATCTACCTAACACCAAGATATTTCTAGACCACCTATGGCGCGTGCAACCAAACACCACGCATGTAATGGAGTCAATCGATGTTACGACACTTTATACCAACGTGCCCAATGACTCCGCAATGCTAACCATGCTCAAGTTGCTCGTAGAGTATGAAAAGAAGACAAAAATGTACGGCTTGTCGATTGCGCAACTAATGACTCTTTTAACACATATTTCGAAACCGACTTTCCTTGAACCTCGGTATCACTAATCAATATGTATTCTTTCTTTGATGAGCTTACACGAAGTTGATAATGATATTTATTTTCGGCTGACGTTTCAACGTCTTCGTCTTCCTCAGAGCCGATGATACGAGTCGATGGTCCACGCTTGTTATTCGTCTCGACGTGGCTGCTTCGCCTTCGTGTCGAGTCAGGTCTTCCTCAGTGAGCCATCTCCTCAAATGAGGCATCCTCACTCATAACAAGCGTAGACCATCGACTCGGATCATCGGCTCTGAGAAAGACGAAGAAGTCGAACCGTTAGATGAAAATAAATATCATTATCAACCTCGTGTAAGCTCATCAAAGAAAGAATACATATCTCTTAACACAGTGTCTTAGTTGTTCAATCTTTAGGTGGTCTGGAAAATATTTTGCACAAATTATAAGGCTGGCCATGGGGCAGCGTTTATCACTAAGCCTTGCCATTGCTTTCATGNCTAAGGTGGAAGCTCCAGTTCTTGATCACCGACTCTTACTCTACTGTCGATACATAGACGACTGCTTCATCTTCTGTTCCACACAAGAACAGATGGATGAGTGAATTATTAAACCGACAGTCAGAGTATATAAAATTTACACGAGAAAAACCTACCGAGAACTGGTTTCCATTCTTAAACATCCAAATAGAGCTCTCAGCAAGTGGCTATGTAACAAAATGGTATCGCAAGCCAAGTAGT